TTTCTGATCACGTGGAACCTTCTTTCCTGCCAATTGTTTATTGGTGATAATCAGGCTTTTTAGTAACTTAAGATAGACAAAATGAAGTAATATTTCCTTACCATCTTCTCTGCTTGCTTTATTGCTGCGTATTTCCCTAGTACTCTTTTCTTGATAATTCCCTACTGTTTCACTGAAGTGGTTCTTTCTTTTTAGCAGAAGTTGCTTCTCTTCCTCCAGAAGGAGAAACACAAGAAGTTAAAGTGAAAGGTGAAGTCCAGAACGATGGGAAAGAACAGACTCATCGCAGTTCCTTGAGGCCTAGAAGGGAAAAGCCAAAGGAAGCCCCTCCTGTTGAGAAGAAAACAGGTGAAAAACGTGGTAGCACGCAGAAGAAAAGGAAAGAAAAACCAACAACCACGGCAACTCCATCTAAACAAAAGCCACGCAGATCTTCTAGATCTGCTGTCGGACGTACAGGTGGTGCAGTTGACTTGAATTCCTTCAATGATGAAGCAACAGGTGAATCACCAACCAAGGATATGAAAAGTACATCTGGTTTTGACGATGATCAAGTCTCTATTCCCCATATTTACATTTCTCCTCTCAATGGTGTGATTGCAGCCTGCCATTCGCCTGTTGAAATAATCCCAGAGGAATTCGATAACTATCTAAGTTCTCTGGATGATCTTCTAACTCAGCCTTCAGAAGTGCCGTTATGTCTTCCTTCAGCCAATAGCTCTCCTATCAAAGAACATGAAATTGCTGGAGCACGAGTCAAACTTTCATCCCTCCTTCATATGGAATTTAGTCAATTGGTGTTCTCCAATGATGTTAGCATCCTCACAAATCTTGTGACTAAACTTCGGAGGGATCCCACCCTTAGTGCTGAACAACTTGTGATGTTAAAGCTGGTTGAAGAAATTCCAACATTCAGAGAAGTTTATCTAGAGAACAAAGAAGTGATAGACCAGGCGGACAGCTTTTTTTCAGCCCTTGAAGTGAACAAGTCCAAGGTTGCTTCCCTCAAGAGTGAGTACAATGAATTGAAAGATAAAATTACCCAAATCCAGATAGATGTGGACAAAAATTCCTCAACTATACAAGAAATTGATGAGCAGATTGCCCAGCTTCAATCACGCCGTGCGGAACTGACCCGTTTGATTAATAGCAAGAACAAGGAAAAACTTGACCTGAACTATGCTCAGAAAATGGTTGCTGGGTCAATTCCAAGGGTGGTGCAGGAAATTCAGGGTGCCAACTTCAAGAAGTCAGAATGGGAAAGGAAAAAGGAGAATGCATTGAAGAGGGAAGCAGAAATTCATGCCAAATTCTCCCCATTGAAAGGGTTTCATTTTTAAGTAGAGTAGGTTCTGAAACATCTAAATAACCTCTTTTGCAGTCTTTCTCCTGAATTAGTGGATGTTTTACTTTGAGTACTTGTAATGCCTGTGCTCTCACCACCCCTGCCAGGTTTGAGATAATACTTTCATTTTGTTTTAACTTTTAACGGGGTCTGGGATACGTTTTACTACTAGTTCTTTAACTTCAGACGATGGATTCATGATGGGACCTTCAGTTAAGTTCTTAAAGCAGGATCTTCCAAAACTGCAGGTTGCTGCGTGTATGCTTTATCTTATGTGCCATATGTTTGGAAGACTTATTCTTCACAGACGAGCATCATGATGGATGTTGTTTGTATTTATATATTAAGACTCTAAATAGTTGTTTTTAAGGGGGGAAAAAAAAACCATCAGTAAAGTTAAAAACAGGAAATGGGATTCTGGGCCAAAAGAAAGTTTTGGAAAATCAGAAGCCCTTTCTAATTTGATCACCATGGTGCAAAAAGGTCTTTCTTAAAAAAAGCATACATTCAGAAAAGCACCTAATAGTAACTGTATCGATACATTTTGGTAACTAGCACCAACATCCTCAAGAACAGTTTTATATGGATAGACTCATTG